TCACAAGCATGGAGAAGGGAGGGCATGACCGTGGCCGAGAAAATTCCGAAGCTTCGTTTGGAGCGACAGACCGGGTAGCTTCCATTGAGCAGCGTTACGCAGCCGATGAAAAGATAATGCCCCCAACTGATTCGGAGTTGAGACCTCTGCCCACTCATTCATTCACACTGACTCACTCGCTCACACTCATTCACACTCGCTCACTCACACTCTACAACAGGGGGAGAACACACAAACTCCACTCACTCACTATCTCGCTCACTCACTATCTCACTCACTCACTATCTCACTCACTATCTCACTCACTATCTCGCTCACTCACTATCTCGCTCACTCACTATCTCGCTCACTCACTATCTCACTCACTATCTCACTCACTCACTATCTCACTCACTCACTATCTCACTCACTCACTATCTCACTCACTCACTATCTCACTCACTATCTCACTCACTCACTATCTCACTCACTCACAACTCTGCAGAGCAGGGGGAGAACATACAAACTCCTGCGCGCAGCCAACTAAAATTGGTTAAAAAATATCCTGAAACGGTCCTGGGCCTCTCCTAGGTCGACTAAAAACCTTAAATGAGTACCTGGGTGTGGCGTGTACATATCACCAGCTATGGAGAGAGACAAAGGCGGCCGGGCGCGGTGCCACATTTCCACCGCTTTGTATGCGCCGTGCTGACTTTCATCGGTGACACTTGCCCCTAACAGCCTGCTAAGGCTATACGGGGGAGCTTTGTCTTTCGTGGTCGGTACACACAGACACACACACACGTGTTGCTGTGTTGCGAATTCTCTGGGATTAGAGAAAGATTAACCTCGCCACGTGACCACAAATCCAGACTCATCCCTCACAGCAGCAGCATCATCACGGTCGTCATAGTCATCGTCATCCGCACACAGTCCAAATCGCCGCATCGACAACAACAACAGCAAAAGTGGTATCAGCAGCAGTAGAATCAGCAGCAGCAGCAGTATCATCAGCAGCGGCAGCAGCAGCCTAGCCAGTATCTGCAACTGCGGCAGATGTATCAGCAAGTGTAACAACATCAGCACCTTCAGGAGTAGCAGCATCATCAGCAGCATCATCAGCAGCAGCATCATCAGCAACATCACCAGCAGCAGCTTCATCATCAGCAGCATCACAAGCATCACCTGCAACAGCATCAGCAGCATCATCATCATCAGCAGCAGCAGCATCACCAACATCTTCAGCAGCATCAACAGCATCACCAGCAGCAACATCATCAGCAGCAGCATCAGCAGCAGCAGCATCTTCAGCATCATCATCAGCAGCAGTATCTTCAGCATCAGCAGCATCATCACCAGCAGCAGCATCAGCAGCAGCATCATCAGCAGTATCACAAGCAGCAGCATCAGCAGCATCATCAGCAGCATCATCAGCAACATCGGCAGTAGCATCATCAGCAGCAGCATCAGCAGCAGCATCAGCAGCAGCAGCATCGGCAGTAGCAAGACCAGGAGGCCTCGCAGCAGCAGCAAGGGAGTCGCAGCGCAACATTACAACAGCAACACAACCCATTAGCAATCGCCTTATATCAACACTCTTCACTACTGATCAAAAGACTCTTCACTGCTGATCAAAACACTCTTCACTGCTGATCTAAACACTCTTCACTGCTGATCAAAACACTCTTCACTGCTGATCAAAACACTCTTCACTACTGATCAAAACACTCTTCACTGCTGATAAAAACACTCTTCACTACTGATCAAAACACTCTTCACTGCTGATCAAAACACTCTTCACCGCTGATCAAAACACGCTTCACTACTGATCAAAACACTCTTCACTGCTGATCAAAACACTCTTCACTGCTGATCAAAACACTCTTCACTACTGATCAAAACACTCTTCACTGTTGATCAAAATACTCTTCACTGCTGATCTAAACACTCTTCACTGCTGATCAAAAAACTCTTCACTACTGATCAAAACACTCTTCACTGCTGATCAAAACACTCTTCACTGCTGATCAAAACAGTCTTCACTGCGGACCAAAACACTCTTCACTGCTGATCTAAACACTCTTCACTGCTGATCAAAACACTCTTCACTGCTGATCTAAACACTTTTCACTACTGATCAAAACACTCTTCACTGCTGATCTAAACACTCTTCACCGCTGATCAAAACACTCTTCACTGCTGATCAAAACACTCTTCACCGCTGATCAAAACACTCTTCACTGCTGATCAAAACATGCTTCACTGCTGATCAAAACACTCTTCACCGCTGATCTAAACACTCTTCACTGCTGATCTAAACACTCCTCACTTCTGATCAAAACACTCTTCACTGCTGATCTAAACACTCTTCACCGCTGATCAAAACACTCTTCACTGCTGATCAAAACACTCTTCACTGCCGATCAAAACACTCTTCACTGCTGATCAAAACACTCTTCACCGCTGATCAAAACACTCTTCACTGCTGATCAAAACACTCTTCACTACTGATCAAAACACTCTTCACTGCTGATCAAAACACTCTTCACTGCTGATCTAAACACTATTCACCGCTGATCAAAACACTCTTCACTGCTGATCAAAACACTCTTCACCGCTGATCAAAACACTCTTCACTGCTGATCAAAACACTCTTCACTGTTGATCAAAACACTCTTCGCCGCTGATCAAAACACTCTTCACTGCTGATCAAAACACTCTTCACTACTGATCAAAACACTCTTCACTGCTGATCAAAACACTCTTCACTGCTGATCAAAACACTCTTTACCGCTGATCAAAACACACTTCACTGCAGTTTAAAACACTCCTCACTGCTGATCAAAACACTCTTCACTGCTGATCAAACCACTCTTCACTGCTGATCAAAACACTCTTCACTGCTGATCAAAACACTCTTCACTGCTGATCAAAGCACTCTTCACCGCTGATCAAAACACTCTTCAATGCTAATCAAAACAGTCTTCACTGCTGATCAAAACACTCTTCAATGCTGATCAAAACACTCTTCACTACTGACCAAAACACTCTTCAATGCTGATCAAAACACTCTTCACTGCTGATCAAATCACTCTTCACTACTGATCTAAACACTCTTCACTGCTGATCAAAACACTCTTCACTGCTGATCTAAACACTCTTCACTGCTGATCAAAACACTCTTCACTGCTGACCAAACACTCTTCACTGCTGATCAAAACACTCTTCACTGCTGATCAAAACACTCTTCACTACTGATCAAAACACTCTTCACTGCTGATCAAAACACTCTTCACTGCTGATCAAAACCCTCTTCAATGTTGATCAAAACACTCTTCACTGCTGATCAAAAACGATTTACTGCTGATCTAAACACTCTTCACTGCTGATCAAAACACTCTTCCCTGCCGATCTAAACACTCTTCACTGCTGATCTAAACACTCTTCACTGTTCATCAAAACACTCTTCACTGCTGATCAAAACACTCTCCACTGCTGATCTAAACACTCTTCACTGCCGATCTAAACACTCTTCACTGCTGATCTAAACACTCTTCACTGCTGATCTAAACACTCTTCACTGCTGATCTAAACACTCTTCACTGCTGATCTAAAAACTCTTCACTGCTGATCTAAACACTCTTCACTGCTGATCTAAACACTCTTCACAGCTGATCTAAACACTCTTCACAGCTCATCTAAACACTCTTCACTGCTGATGGTGCCACGTGACTGCCTTGCGACGGAGCTCCCAGGGATTGTCGCCAGACGACAGAGAAACAAAACTCTTGAATCACGTTTCTTGAAGGAGCGAGCGTCCTGAAGGAGCGAGCGTGTTGAAGGAGCGAGCGTCTTGAAGGAGCGAGCATCTGGAAGGAACGAGCGTCTTGAAGGAGCGAGCATCTGGAAGGAGCGAACGTCTTGAAGGAGCGAGCATCTTGAAGGAGCGAGCGTCTTGAAGGAGCGAGCATCTTGAAGGAGCACGTCTTGAAGGAGCGAGCGTCTTGAAGGAGCGAGCATCTTGAAGGAGCGAGCGTCTTGAAGGAGCGAGCGTCTTGAAGGAGCACGTCTTGAAGGAGCGAGCATCTTGAAGGAGCACGTCTTGAAGGAGCACGTCTTGAAGGAACGAGCATCTTGAAGTAGCGTCTTGAAGGAGCACGTCTTGAAGGAGCACACCTTGAAGGAACGAGCATCTTGAAGTAGCGTCTTGAAGGAGCACGTCTTGAAGGAGCGAGCGTCTTGAAGGAGCGAGCTTCTTGAAGGCGCGAACGTCTTGAAGAAGCACGTCTTGAAGGAGCGTGCGTCTTCAAGGAGCGAGCGTCTTGAAGACGCACGTCTTGAAGGAGCGAGCGTCTTCAAGGAGCGAGCATCTTGAAGGAGCAAGCGTCTTGAAGGAGCACGTCTTGAAGGAGCAAGCGTCTTGAAGGAACGAGCATCTTGAAGGAGCGAGTGTCTTGAAGGAGCGAGCGTCTTAAAGGAGCACGTCTTGAAGGAGCAAGCATCTTGATTAGCAAGCGTCTTGAAGGAGCATTGTCTTGAAGGAGCGAGCATCTTGAAGGAGCGAGCATCTTGAAGGAGCTAGCGTCTTGAAGTAGCGAGCATCTTGAAGGAGCACGTCTTGAAGTAGCGAGCATCTTGAAGGAGCACGTCTTGGAGGAGCGAGCGTCTTGAAGGAGCGAGCATCTTGAAGGAGCGAGCGTCTTGAAGTAGCGAGCATCTTGAAGGAGCACGTCTTGAAGTAGCGAGCATCTTGAACGAGCACGTCTTGGAGGAGCATTGTCTTGAAAGAGCGAGCATCTTGAAGGAGCGAGCATCTTGAAGGAGCGAGCGTCTTGAAGTAGCGAGCATCTTGAAGGTGCACGTCTTGAAGTAGCGAGCATCTTGAAGGAGCACGTCTTGGAGGATCATTGTCTTGTAGGTGCGAGCATCTTGAAGGAGCGAGCGTCTTGAAGGAGCGAGCATCTTGAAGTAGCGAGCATCTTGAAGGAGCACGTCTTGAAGTAGCGAGCATCTAGAAGGAGCACGTCTTGGAGGAGCATTGTCTTGAAGGAGCGAGCATCTTGAAGGAGCGAGCATCTTGAAGGAGCGAGCGTCTTGAAGTAGCGAGCATCTTGAAGGAGCACGTCTTGGAGGAGCGAGCGTCTTGAAGGAGTGTTTTGAAGGAGCACGTCTTGTAGGAGCGAGCGTCTTGAAGGAGCGAGCGTCTTGAAGGAGCACGTCTTGAAGGAGCACGTCTTGAAGGAGCGAGCATCTTGAAGGAGCACGTCTTGAAGGAGCAAGCATCTTGAAGGAGCGAGCGTCTTGAAGGAGGAAGCGTCTTGAAGGAGCAAGCATCTTGAAAGAGCGAGCGTCTTGAAGGAGCACGTCTTAAAGGAGCACGTCTTAAAGGAGCGAGCGTCTTGAAGGAGCGAGCATCTTGAAGGAGCGAGCATCTTGAAGGAGGAAGCGTCTTGAAGGAGCGAGCGTCTTGAAGGAGCGAGTGTCTTGAAGGAGCACGTCTTAAAGGAGAACGTCTTGAAGGAGCACGTCTTAAAGGAGCGAGCGTCTTGAAGGAGTGTCTTGAAAGAGCACGTCTTGAAGGAGCGAGCGTCTTAAAGGAGCACGTCTTGAAGGAGCAAGCATCTTGATTAGCAAGCGTCTTGAAGGAGCATTGTCTTGAAGGAGCGAGCATCTTGAAGGAGCGAGCATCTTGAAGGAGCTAGCGTCTTGAAGTAGCGAGCATCTTGAAGGAGCACGTCTTGAAGTAGCGAGCATCTTGAAGGAGCACGTCTTGGAGGAGCGAGCGTCTTGAAGGAGCGAGCATCTTGAAGGAGCGAGCGTCTTGAAGTAGCGAGCATCTTGAAGGAGCACGTCTTGAAGTAGCGAGCATCTTGAACGAGCACGTCTTGGAGGAGCATTGTCTTGAAAGAGCGAGCATCTTGAAGGAGCGAGCATCTTGAAGGAGCGAGCGTCTTGAAGTAGCGAGCATCTTGAAGGTGCACGTCTTGAAGTAGCGAGCATCTTGAAGGAGCACGTCTTGGAGGATCATTGTCTTGAAGGAGCGAGCATCTTGAAGGAGCGAGCGTCTTGAAGGAGCGAGCATCTTGAAGTAGCGAGCATCTTGAAGGAGCACGTCTTGAAGTAGCGAGCATCTTGAAGGAGCACGTCTTGGAGGAGCATTGTCTTGAAGGAGCGAGCATCTTGAAGGAGCGAGCATCTTGAAGGAGCGAGCGTCTTGAAGTAGCGAGCATCTTGAAGGAGCACGTCTTGGAGGAGCGAGCGTCTTGAAGGAGTGTTTTGAAGGAGCACGTCTTGTAGGAGCGAGCGTCTTGAAGGAGCGAGCGTCTTGAAGGAGCACGTCTTGAAGGAGCACGTCTTGAAGGAGCGAGCATCTTGAAGGAGCACGTCTTGAAGGAGCAAGCATCTTGAAGGAGCGAGCGTCTTGAAGGAGGAAGCGTCTTGAAGGAGCAAGCATCTTGAAAGAGCGAGCGTCTTGAAGGAGCACGTCTTAAAGGAGCACGTCTTAAAGGAGCGAGCGTCTTGAAGGAGCGAGCATCTTGAAGGAGCGAGCATCTTGAAGGAGGAAGCGTCTTGAAGGAGCGAGCGTCTTGAAGGAGCGAGTGTCTTGAAGGAGCACGTCTTAAAGGAGAACGTCTTGAAGGAGCACGTCTTAAAGGAGCGAGCGTCTTGAAGGAGTGTCTTGAAAGAGCACGTCTTGAAGGAGCGAGCATCTTGAAGGAGCGAGCATCTTGAAGGAGGAAGCGTCTTGAAGGAGAACGTCTTAAAGGAGCAGGTCTTGAAGGAGAACGTCTTGAAGGAGCGAGCGTCTTGAAGGAGCGAGCATCTTGAAGGAGCGAGCGTCTTGAAGGAGAACGTCTTGAAGGAGCACGTCTTGAAGGAGCACGTCTTGAAGGAGCATGACTTGAAGGAGCACGTCTTAAAGGAGCGAGCGTCCTGAAGGAGTGTCTTGAAGGAGGAAGCGTCTTGAAGGAGGAAGCGTCTTGAAGGAGCACGTCTTGAAGGAGCACGTCTTGAAGCAGCGAGCGTCTTGAAGGAGCGAGCGTCTCGACCTCCATGGCCTCCTTTGTGTTGAAGTCGATGGTGGGGGGCCATCTGAAGAGCCTCACTGGGGGGCTCGCGGGCGGGGGGGAGGGGGGCGGGGACAAGGGGGGGGGCGACGCGGCCGCGGGTGGGGGGGGGATGACGCGGGAGGAGTTCGAGGAGTACCGGAAGCAGCTGCTGGAGGAGAAGTGAGTGCCGTGTGAGGAGGTGTGAGGAGGTGTGAGGAGATGTGAGGAGAAGTGAGTGCCGTGTGAGGAGGTGTGAGGAGGTGTGCCGTGTGAGGAGGTGTGAGGAGATGTGAGGAGAAGTGAGTGCCGTGTGAGGAGGTGTGAGGAGGTGTGAGGAGATGTGAGGAGAAGTGAGTGCCGTGTGAGGAGGTGTGAGGAGGTGTGCCGTGTGAGGAGGTGTGAGGAGATGTGAGGAGAAGTGAGTGCCGTGTGAGGAGGTGTGAGGAGGTGTGAGGAGATGTGAGGAGAAGTGAGTGCCGTGTGAGGAGGTGTGAGGAGGTGTGAGGAGAAGTGAGATGTGAGGAGGTGTGCCGTGTGAGGAGGTGTGAGGAGAAGTGAGGAGAAGTGAGGAGGTGTGAGGAGGTGTGAGGAGAAGTGAGATGTGAGGAGGAGGAGGAGTGAGTGCCGTGTGAGGAGGTGTGAGGAGGTGTGAGGAGATGTGAGGAGGAGTGAGAAGTGAGGTGTGAGGAGAAGTGAGTGCCGTGTGAGGAGGTGTGAGGAGGTGTGAGGAGAAGTAAGTGCCGTGTGAGGAGGTCTGAGGAGGTGTGAGGAGAAGTGAGTGCCGTGTGAGGAGGTGTGAGGAGGTGTGAGGAGAAGTGAGTCCCGTGTGAGGAGGTGTGAGGAGGTGTGAGGAGAAGTGAGTGCCATGTGAGGAGGTGTGAGGAGGTGTGAGGAGATGTGAGAAGTGAGGAGAAGTGAGTGCCGTGTGAGGAAATGTGAGGAGGTGTGAGGAGGTGTGAGGAGAAGTGAGATGTGAGGAGAAGTGAGTGCCGTGTGAGGAGGTGTGAGGAGGTGTGAGGAGGTGTGAGGAGAAGTGAGATGTGAGGAGATGTGAGTGCCGTGTGAGGAGGTGTGGGGAGGTGTGAGAAGGTGTGAGGAGATGTGGGATGTGAGGAGAAGTGAGTGCCGTGTGAGGAGGTGCGATGAGGTGTGAAGAGGAGCGAGGAGGTGTGAGGAGAAGTGAGGAGGTGCCCCACCCTCCACGTGACCCCTCCCGCATGACCGCCTCCCGCGTAACCCCCCCCCCCCCCTCTGGCGTGACACGCCCCCCCCCCTCTGGCGTGACTGCCCTCCCTCGTGACCGCCCCCCATGTGACCCCCCCCCCCGCGTGATCCACCCCCTCACCCTCCGCGTGACCCCTCCCCCCGCGTGACCCCTCCCCCTCCGCGTGACCCCTCCCCCCGCGTGACCCCTCCCCCCGCGTGACCCCTCCCCCCGCGTGACCCCTCCCCCCCCCCCCCCAGGATGGAACGTGACGCACACTTCACGCAGAAGAAGGCCGTGCGAGCCACGGTGAGGACGCACTTCAGGGAGAAGTACCGCCTGCCCAAGGTACGTGTGCCGGACTTCTTTCGCACCGTACGCGGCAAAACCGTGCTAATGGGAGGTGCGTCGGGGTGAAGGACAACAAACGAAACACGAATAGCAGTTCTAAAGAAATGCGTTTGTCAATCGAGATGATTTAAAGGTGCATCACAACTCCCAGTGCCGGATTATCCTGGCAGCAAAATTAGCAAATGTAGTAGCTACGGGCCCCGCACTTTCAAGGACCCCGTGCTAAACGCTTTCAAGCTATCAATTCCGGTTCAGTGATTCTGCACTTGCTCTATCACTATAGTACTATACCGCCTTCAACTTTTATGAACGACTGGCTGTTTAAGGTTAGTGATTTGTCTGTTATCTGGCTGTATAGCAAATGAAAAAAATATAATGACTTAGCTATGCAAGTGAAATAAATTGTGTTTTCATATTTACAGTGGGGGGAAAAAAGCATTTGATCCCCTGCCGATTTTGTACGTTTGCCCACTGACAAGGAAATGATCAGTCTATAATTTTAATGGGAGGTTTATTTGAACAGTGAGAGAGAATAACAACAACAAAATCCAGAAAAACGCATGTCAAAAATGTTGTAAATTGGTTTGCATTTTAATGAGGGAAATAAGTATTTGACCCCCTCTCAATCAGAAAGATTTCTGGCTCCCAGGTGTCTTTTATACAGGTAACGAGCTGAGATCAGGAACACACTCTTAAAGGGAGTGCTCCTAATCTCAGCTTGTTACCTGTATAAAAGACACCTGTCCACAGAAGCAATCAATCAATCAGATTCCAAACTCTCCACCATGGCCAAGACCAAAGAGCTATCCAATGATGTCACGGACAAGGCAGGAATGGGCTACAAGACCATTGCCAAGCAGCTTGGTGAGAAGGTGACAACAGTTGGTGCGATTATTCGCAAATGGAAGAAACACAAAAGAACTGTCAATCTCCCTCTGGCCTGGGGCTCCATGCAAGATCTCACCTCGTGGAGTTGCAATGATCATGAGAACGGTGAGGAATCAGCCCAGAACTACACGGGAGGATCTTGTCAATGATCTCAAGGCAGCTGGGACCATAGTCACCAAGAAAACAATTGGTAACACACTACGCCGTGAAAGACTGAAATCCTGCAGCGCCTGCAAGGTCCCCCTGCTCAAGAAAGCACATATACATGCCCGTCTGAAGTTTGCCAATGAACATCTGAATGATTCAGAGGACAACTGGGTGAAAGTGTTGTGGTCAGATGAGACCAAAATGGAGCTCTTTGGCATCAACTCAACTTGCCGTGTTTGGAGGAGGAGGAATGCTGCCTATGACCCCAATAACACCATCCACACCGTCAAACATGGAGGTGGAAACATTATGCTTTGGGGGTGTTTTTCTGCTAATGGGACAGGACAACTTCACCGCATCAAAGGGACGATGGACAGGGCCATGTACCGTCAAATCTTGGGTGAGAACCTCCTTCCCTCAGCCAGGGCATTGAAAATGGATCGTGGATGGGTATTCCAGCATGACAATGACCCAAAACACATGGCCAAGGCAACAAAGGAGTGGCTCAAGAAGAAGCACATTAAGGTCCTAGAGTGGCCTAGCCAGTCTCCAGACCTTAATCCCATAGAAAATCTGTGGAGGGAGCTGTAGGTTACAGTTGCCAAACGTCAGCCTCGAAACCTTAATGACTTGGAGCACTGTTGTGGAGGCAGAAGCGATAGTTTGGTGGATCAGACACACACACACGCACAGAAGATGCGGCGACACTCCCTTCCTACCGTGAGTGGGTGTCGAGGAGGAGCCGTGCTCCCTGGCCCTGCCAGGAGGCGGTAATACCAAAGCCGTGGAACGGGATAGAGTGTTTCCCCCTCGCACGCACGCGCGCGCGTTGGGTGTTCTCCGTGTTGCTCCTCCCGCGTGTATAAACACTCGCCATTGATTGGGCCGATAACACCTTGACATATATGTAGAGGACCGCAGAGCTTGGAGGGCGATCGTTGGTAGTGCCGGCTCCTCATCAGCACCGCGTGGCTGCTGCTGCTTCTGCTTTCTCACTCCTCGTCTGTGTTTCTATCTGCTGCTGGTGCCTCTGAGTCGTCCTCTCTCTCTCTCTCTCTAGGAGATCTCTCTCCACATTTCGAAGCATGCCTTTAGATTATTTGGCTGCTATGAATGTCCACGCGATGATGATAGGCCCCACTTCGCAACATAGCTCAGTGGAGCCTTACCTGGTAAAAAAATAAAATTAGTTTATAGTTAGTAGTTTAGATTGTGAAAGCCAGGTCGCTTTTGAAAAACAGCAACATTGCTCAGTGGGGCATGACCTGGTAAAATAAAATAACACATTCTCCTGCGAAGGAGGGAGCTGGTAGGAACGTTGGGTTGCTCGCTCAATGGCCAGGGTCAACGACACCACGTGGTGTATTCCGCACAATATTCCCGACTTTGAGGGCGGGCACAAGCCGGCGTGAGTAGGTTAAACGTTGAGTTTTATAAGGGCACCACGGGGTGACCAGCCCAGCCCCACCCAGCCCCTCCCCTCCCACCCAGCCCCTCCCCACCCAGCCCCTCCCACCCCCCACCCAGCCCCTCTCCACCCAGCCCCACCCCTCCTACCCTCCCCACCCAGCCCCTCCCCACCCTCCCCACCCAGCCCCTCCCCACCCAGCCCCACCCCTCCCATTTTTGGATGCACGACGAACAGACGGACACAATAATCCCCTGTGGGCTGGTGTAGTAACCAGGAGGTTCCTACACAGTAAAATGTATCGCTTAGTAGTTTAGTTTGTGATTTGCCTGGTCGCTTCTGAAGAAGAAGAAGCTAATAACTCATTTGCATTTTTACCTGATAAGATTATTTTTTTAAACATTGTTTTAATTGTATTTGTATATATTTATCTTTAAGTTATTTGTTGACCTTTCCTATACTCTGCGCTCATGTCGTGTTTTTCTATCGTTTTTTATTGTCGTAGCATTCCGACACGCCCCTTACGGGCGGCGTGCGGGCGCTAACCGCTGCGCCACCGCTCCCTCTCCTCGCTCTCTCCCTCGCCCATCACCCGTGCCGGGGGGCCTCCACAGAGCGAGCAGGACGCTGCCAAAGTGCAGCTCGCGGGGGGGGCAGTGGAACTCCCCCCGGACCTGGCCAAGATGGTTCGGTCCGCGCAGCAGCAGCAGCAGGAGGAGAAGGAGAAGTCGCTGCTCAACTCCCTGCCCAATCCGGTCCTCTCCGGCAACCAGGCAGCACACCAAAGACAAAGATCCCCCGTGTAGCCTTTGACAGACTTTTGACTTAAAAAAAAACTTTGGCGATTGCAGGAATTCATATTCTTGGTTCTGCCGGTAGAGTCACGTAGATAGAAAGTGAAAATGAAGAAAATTAAATCAATGGTAAAATAAAATACAAAATAATAAATTGAAAATAATAAAAGCAAAAAGGCCACGACGTTTCGATCGCAACACAAGCGACCTGACGAAGGCCGCTTGTGTCGCGAACGAAACGTCTGACAAGACCGCTTGTGTTGCGATTGAAACGTCTGACAAAGGCCGCTTGTGTTGCGATTGAAGCGTCGTGGATTTTTTGCTTTTATCATTTTCAACTTTTAAAAAATATATATTTTTTTCATGTTTATTTTCTATCTACGTGACTTTACCGAAAGAACCAAGAATGTACTATAACAGACTGTTGGGGCCAAGTGCTGTTTAGCGAGTAGCAGCGCCTATGAAGGTCGCACACTGAGTCTATGGCCAGTGGTGGTTGGGTGGCCAGTAACCAACTACCCACCCCCCCGCGCGTAGCCGCCTTTGTCTCCCCACTGTGGGGAGATGTTAACTACCTCGCCTGGTATACAGGAGGTCGTGGGTTCAATCCCAAGCCTGACCTTTGCTGTATATTTGGAGTTTGCAGTGTCTCTCTCATCATCATCACAGTGGCTATGAGATGTTAACTCCCTCGCCTGGTATACAGGAAGTCGTGGGGTCGATTCCGACCCTGACGCCTGCTGCTGTATACTTGGAGTTTGCGTGTCTCTCTCCCTGCTGTAGTGTGGATTTTTCCCTCCGAAATTCAAATCAACATCACACGTCTAGAGTATTTGCCCGCTATATATATTTCCATGTCATAAGCGACTTTATTAAGTCATAACTGGCTGTAACGATGTTAGTTGGTATTTTCGCCTCACCGATCTTACATTAACAGGTTCAATCTCTCACATTAACATAGCCACCTCAGCACGCTCGCCATAGAGGCCGCTCACCAATCTCACATTAACACGCTAATCTCTCACACTAACACGCTAATCTCTCACATTAACATGCTAATATCTCACATTAACATGCTAATATCTCACATTAACATGCTAATCTCTCACATTAACACGCTAATCTCTCACATTAACATGCTAATCTCTAACATTAACATGTTAATCTCTCACATTAACATGCTAATATCTCACATTAACATGCTAATCTCTCACATTAACATGCTAATCTCTCACATTAACATAGCCACCTCAACACGCTCGCCATAGAGGCCGCTCACCGATCTCACATTAACATGTTAATCTCTCACATTAACATGCTAATCTCTCACATTAACATGTTAATCTCTCACATTAACACGCTAATCTCTCACATTAACATGTTAATCTCTCACACTAACACGCCAATCTCTCACACTAACACGCTAATCTCTCACACTAACACACTAATCTCTCACATTAACACGCTAATTTCTCACATTACCACGCTAATCTCTCACATTAACACGCTAATCTCTCACATTAACACGCTAATCTCTCAAATTAACATGCTAATCTCTCACATTAACATGCTAATCTCTCACATTAACATGTTAATCTCTCACATTAACATTCTAATATCTCACATTAACATGCTAATCTCTCACATTAACATGTTAATCTCTCACACTAACACGCTAATCTCTCACATTAACACGCCAATCTCTCACACTAACACACTAATCTCTCACATTAACACGCTAATTTCTCACATTAACACGCTAATCTCTCACATTAACACGCTAATCTCTCACATTAACACGCTAATCTCTCACATTAACACGCTAATCTCTCACATTAACACGCTAATCTCTCAAATTAACGTGCTAATCTCTCACATTAACATGCTAATCTCTCACATTAACACGCTAATCTCTCACATTAACACGCTAATCTCTCACATTAACACGCTAATCTCTCAAATTAACATGCTAATCTCTCACATTAACACGCTAATCTCTCACATTAACATGCTAATCTCTCAAATTAACATGCTGATCTCTCACATCTACATGCTTATCGCTCACAGTAGCACGCTAATCTCTCACGTCAACATGCTAATCTCTCACGTCAACATGCTAATCTTTCACATTAACCCGCTAATATTTCACATTAACCCGCTAATCTTTCACATTAACATGCTAATATCTCACATTAACATGCTAATATCTCACATTAACATGCTAATATCTCACATTAACATGCTAATCTCTCACATTAACCCGCTAATAGTGTATTGAGGGGCGTGGTTAGTGTAATGAGGGGCGTGGTTAGTGTCGAGATTGGCGTGGTTAGTTTACTGATTGGGCGTGGTTGAAGTAATCACGAGCGTGGTTATTGTAATGAGGGGCGTGGTTATTGCAATGAGGGGCGTGGTTATTGTAATGAGGGGCGTGGTTATTGTAAATGAGGGGCGTGGTTAGTGTAATGATTGGCGTGGTTAGTTTACCGATTGGGTGTGGTTGGCGTAATAACGGGCGTGGTTATTGTAATGAGGGGCGTGGTTAGAGCAATGAGATTGGTTTAATTAGGGGGCGTGGTTATGGCCGTGAGGGCGTGATTATGGTAATGAGGGGGCGTGGTTATGGTGTCTCTCCGTGTCTCCGCAGGGTGTGGATTCTCTCCGGGAGAAGGCCCAGGAGACTCTGCATGGGGTGCGCCAGGCGGCCGAGCAAAAGTGCAGCGTCATGTGAGCCCCTTGGGTCTCACCCGGGAGTGATCAACCTGGGGGTCGCACCTGGGTCACCTTAGGACACCGTGGGGGTCAGAGGGGGGCTATCACCCCTTGGTCACCCTCTGGTCACTCCTTGTTCATGTTTTTGTTTGTTGCGGCTGCACCCGAGTCAAGAGCCGCATGGCTCACAGGGCTATACCTAATAAATGAAACTGAAAAACAGAAAACCCCTTGGTCATCCGTGGGGCACCCGTGGCTCACCCCTGGGTCATCCTTTGGTCATCTGTCGGTCACTCCTTGGTCACCCCTTGATCACTCCTGGGTTACCCCTGGGTCACCTCTGGGTCACCTCCTGGGTCACCCCTTGGTCACCTGGGTCACCTCTGGGTCACCTCCTGGGTCACCCCTTGGTCACCTGGGTCACCTCTGGGTCACCTCCTGGGTTACCCCTGGGTCACCCCTGGGTCACCTGAGTCACCCCTGAGTGACCTCCTGGGTCACCTCCTGGGTCACCTCCTGAGTCACCTCTGGGTCACCTCCTGGGTCACCCCTGAGTGACCTCCTGGGTCACCCCTGAGTCACCTTCTGAGTCACCCCTGAGTCACCTCCTGGGTCACCCCTGAGTGACCTCCTGGGTCACCCCTGGGTCACCTCCTGGGTCACCCCTTGGTCACGTCCTGGGTCACCCCAGGGTCACCCCTGGGTCACCTCCTGGGTCACCCCTTGGTCACCTCCTGGGTCACCCCTGGGTCACGTCCTGGGTCACCCCAGGGTCACCCCTGGGTCATCCCCTGGGTCACCCCTTGGTCACCCCTGGGTCACGTCCAGGGTCACCCCTTGGTCACCCCTGGGTCACCCCAGGGTCACCCCTGGGTCATTCTGGATCAGCTTGCAACGTGACCTTCAACTCCAAAGCATCCTGGGCTGAACCTCCGCTCCTCCTCCACCACCACTACCGTCTCCACGACCGCAGCTCGACTCGAGGATGAATCGAGAGGCGATCCGTGATCCCCCACCCCCCGTGGTTCTCTCTGGGACGGCTCCTAACAGATACCGCCATATTAGGGAGCCCACTGGGCAGCTACGATGCACTTTTAAATAATCTAGGAGATTGAAAACTCATTTCTTTAGAACTGCTTTTTGTGTTTAGTTTGTTCGATTAGTGCGGCTGGCTATGTACGGTGCGAAAAAAGTTCAATATACCCTTAGTCTCAACACTGCCCATAGACTCAACACTACCCTTAGACTCAACACTACCCTTAAACTCAACACTACCCTTAGTCTCAACACTGCCCATAGACTCACACTACCCTTAGTCTCAACACTGCCCATAGACTCAACACTGCCCATAGACTAACACTATAGACTAACACTGCCCATAGACAATACCCTTAGACTAACACTGCCCATAGACTAACACTACCCTTAGACTAACACTACCCATAGACTCAACACTACCCATAGGCTAACACTACCCATAGACTCAACACTACCCATAGTCTCAACACTACCCATAGACTCACACTATAGACTAACACTACCCTTAGACTAACACTAATCATAGACTCAACACTACCCATAGGCTAACACTACCCATAGACTCAACACTGCCCATAGACTCAACACTACCCATGGACTCAACACTGCCCATAGACTCAACACTGCACCATAGACTAACACTATAGACTAACACTACCCATAGACTGACACTATAGACTAACACTACCCATAGACTAACACTACCCATAGACTCAACATTGCCCATAGACTAACACTACCCATAGACTAACACTGCCCATAGACTCAACGCTACCAATAGACTAACACTACCCATAGACTCAACACTACCCATAGACTCAACACTACCCATAGACTCAACACTACCCATAGACTAACACTACCCATAGACTAACACTACCCATAGACTAACACTACCCATAGACTAACACTGCCCATAGACTAACACTATCCATAGACTCAACACTACCCTTAGACTCAACACTACCCTTAGACTCAACACTACCCATAGACTCAACACTGCCCATAGACTAACACTAGACTAACACTGCCCATAGACTAACACTGCCCATAGACTAACACTATCCATAGACTAACACTACCCTTAGACTCAACACTACCCATAGACTCAACACTGCCCATAGACTAACACTGCCCATAGACTCAACACTGCCCATAGACTCAACACTATCCATAGACTAACACTACCCTTAGACTCAACACTACCCTTTGACTCAACACTACCCATAGACTAACACTGCCCATAGACTAACACTGCCCATAGACTCAACACTGCCCCCCACCCCACTCCCCCCCTGCCCGTGTAGCCTGAGTGGGGCAAATACGACTCACGTTGAGTCGAAATTCGAGGCATCGACCTCCCGTCAATCGGGCGAGGTAGTTAACATCTCGCGTACGACCCCCTGAGTCTCAGGACCTTGAGACACCTACACACGAAGATCTCGCGTGTAGTCTTAGAAGACTGTAGGGGCAAGTGCTGTTAGCGAGTAGCACCTATGAAGGCCGGCACGGCACACGAGGGGGTGGGTGGCCAACACCACGCCCGACCGCCTTTGTCTCCCGATGGTGATGTTTTTACACACCGCACCAGGTACTCATTTGAGGTTGAGTCGACCTAGAGGAGGCCCAGGACCGGTTCAGATAATCGTGACTGATGTTGGCCGCGAGCGGGAATCGAACTCGGGTTCCCGGGTTCGTAGCGCAGCGCGCTAACCACTACACTACCGCTACTGACACACAACAACAACAACAACAACCGCCATTCGCCACTAAGTGGCGGTGACGTCACCACGACGCTTGTGCCAGGCTATGTGCACCCTGAGGCCACGTGAAGTGTCGAACGCCCGCTGGCAGGAGGTCACGGGGCAGACCCAGGTGCCACGGGTCGACTGACTGAGATGACTGGCTGATGCACCACCTGTGCCCCCTACTGTGCCAACCTGCTGTGCTTTAGCCACCCGGCGCTCCGCTCGCTGTTGTGAGCGTCGCTCCTCCGCCCTTCGTTGTTGTTGGAGGGCGACCGCCTCCAACTGCCCAGTAGCATCCTTCACGAGCTTCCTCCACAGAGGCCGATCTTGACACCGCTGGTACCAGTCATCGGCAAGTCCACTCAGCTCCACGTCCTCCTGTACCACATCACTCCATCTCTTCTCTAGCCCGTGCCGCGCCCGCTTAGCCCCCTCAATCCGGCCAAACAAAAGCTGTTTCGGCATGCGGTGGCTGGGCATGCGGGCTACATGACCCAGCCATCGCAGCCTTGCCTGCCGGAGGAGCTCACCGATGGGACCCTGCCCAGATCTTTCAAGGATTTGTGAGCTCCTCACACAATCCAGTCTGGTTAAACCCAGGATGGATCGTAGGCAGGCCAGCCTAAATGTTTCTAACCGGCGAAGATGTTCCATTAGGGGGGTCCACGTTTCGCAAGCGTAGAGAAGGGAGGGAATGACCGTGGCCGAGAAGACCTGAAGCTTAGTGCGGAGCGACAGACCAGGTAGCTTCCACACAGCGTTACGCAACCGATGAAAAGATATTGCCGCTCGACTGATTCGGAGTGAGACCTCTGCTGTTAAACTGGAGCCAGTCATAAGCACACTGCCCAGGTATGGGAAACTCTCCACTCTCTCCACAACTGCCCCATCACCGATTGGGAGTTGTGGGGGTGGAGTGTCCGATGGTACAAAATACCCAGGCAAGTGCTTAGTTTTGGTGGGGCTGATGGTAAGGCCCCACCTCTTAGTGGCACGCTCCAGTCTCAGCAGCAGCGTCTCCAACTCCTCCTCTGACTGAGCAGCTATTACCAAGTCATCAGCATACATAACGTGGTTGAGCAATAGGGAGCCATCCCTTGACCGCACCCGGGCATCGATGAGCCTCCCATTATATCTGTACCATATGGAGATTCCCCCGGTACAGCTATTGAAGGCTTCACGAACTACGTGGTCAAAATAGATGTTAAATAATGTGGGAGCCAGAGGACATCCCTGTCGCACCCCAAGGTGTACAGGGAATGGCTCTGACTCCCGGCCACGTAGTTTTACCCGGGCTCGCTCACCATCATGAAGGTCCTTAATGATCGTGAGCAGAGGGTCAGGTACTCCAAAAGCACGAAGAACGACCCAGAGCCCAGGCCTACTGATGGTATCATAGGCCTTGACCATGTCAATAAAGCAGAGATGTAGGTCTTGTTGGAATTCCCTACACCTCTGCTGTAGCAGACGGACAGAAAATATGGCATCTGTGCAGGACCGCCCTTTCCTGAAACCGCATTGGGGCTCCGCAAGCCTCTCCTCAGCGTGCCTGGCAAGGCGATGCTGAATAATCCTTGCCAGGACCTTTCCCGGCACACTGAGGAGTGAGATGCCCCTGTAGTTGTTACAGTCTGTGCGGTCCCCCTTCTTAAAAAGGGGGACCACCAGGGCATCCTTCCAATCCTGCGGAACCCGTCCAGTGGTCCAGACTGTTGTTATGATGTCATATAGGGCAGTCTGTGCACAAACGCCACCCTCCCTCAGCATTTCGCTTGGGAGATCATCTCTGCCCGCTGCCTTTCCTGGTCTCAGACTCCGGATCGCCTTCAATACTTCCTCAGCAGATGGCACCTCAGCCAGCCACTCACAGGGGGTGACTTCATCCAATATTTGAGGCACCGCAGCCTCAGCAGGGTCATCCTCACTTTGTGCCACGATGTTTTCCTGGCTGAGGGATTTTCCCTCCCCCAGGACCTCACAGAAATGCTCAGCAAATCTGCGAACCTGTTCCTGGGGGTCGGAAATTGGATCACCGTTTTTTCCCCTAATGATGGTAATAGGTGTGGCACTGCAGGTTACTTTTTTGATGGAGTTAAATAGAGATTTGTGATCACGGGCCACTGAGGCAGACTCCATCTCCTCAGCAACCCGCGACCACCACCCATCCTTGCAGCGCCTCACGGCTCTCCGAACCTCCGAGCGAAGGCTGCGGTAAGCCTCCTCATTCTCTGACGTGGGATTCTGTAGCCGATGACAGTGGGCCTGTCGCTTTTTCTCAACCATCCTGAACAACTCCTCTGTCATCCAGGGTGTCTGGGGAGGTCTGGACCGCGTACCCAAAGCAGCCATTGCAGCTGCATGAGTCACAGTCCTAAACCTCGCCCATTTACCCTCGACATCAGGAGGAGTCGGGGACGATGCCAATCCCAGCCGCAAGCGATGATGAAATTCTCGCTTGCAACTTTCATCAGATAACTGAGACCAGGCCACTTTAGGTTGGAATGGGGTCCTGGGTGTACACCCACCACCGGAGTGGAAGAATGGCAGGCACATCTTACAGATGACCAGTCGATGGTCAGAGGGCAGATCAGCTCCACGGTAGGTCTTGGTGTCAAGGACATGGGCTCGCATTCGCTGGTCCGTCACTATGTAGTCCAGCAGATGTTCTTGCTTGGACCCGGCATGCATCCATGATGTTGTGTGGATGCGCCGATGCCGGAACAGCGTGTTGGTAATTACAAGCCCATGGGCTGCACAAAAATCTAGCAGCCTCCTACCGTTGTTATTGAGCTGATCTGGCCCATGCCCTCCAATCACTCCAGACCAGGTGCCAGTATCATAACCAACTCGGGCATTGAAGTCACCCAACATGATGACTCTATCCCGAGGGGCCACTTTAGCCAGCACCTGTGACAGGAGGTCATAGAAGGCATCTGACTCATCGGCTTTGCCTGCATCCCTCCACGGATGTTCATCTTCGGTGGGGGCATAAGTAACCACGACCACCATTCCTCGCCTCCGGTTGATGGGAAGGCGAGCCCAAAGTAGCCTGGGGCTTACAGCTTCCCACACCTCACCGCCACGCTCCCACGCCCCCTTCATTCTTTTGTTCAAAAGAAGACCCACACCCTGTTGTTTGGCAGTCTGCTGCCCCGAGTAGAGGACTGTCCACCCCTCATGGTGGCAGGAGCCAGAGCCGGTCCACCGGACCTCCTGAATGCCGCATAGATCCAGGCGGTACCGGTCCAGCTCCCGACAGAGGAGTGGCAGCCTCTCCTCTGCAGTGAGCGTTCGAACATTCCACGTGGCCACCCGTAGTGGCTTTTCGTTGTTTCTGGAGTAGCCCCGAGGGTAGGTATTCAATCTCCTGGCTCCGCC